CTGATATCATCTTCAAGCAATAGTAAACCAATTATAGTATATTATCCTAAGCAAGGGACATAGCATTGAAAGAGAATCGGAAGAATTGATAGTAAATTAAGCTAATAGACCCTTGCTGACTCTACTTAAAAATTATAGGAACTCTGGGTCATTGCACTAATAGTTAGTCGCTGAGCCACTTGAGTAAATTATGCAGTCTTTGTATCAATAGTCATTGAGCTGCGCGATTTATTATCTATAGGGGGGGTAGGATGGGTTGAAAGAGCCAGCCTAGTACTATAAGGCGGGCAATAGTGAAACCAAAACTAACGCACCTTAAATTCACTTGTACCTAAAATACTTACCATGATACAGGTATTTGCCTTAACCTTAACCCGCTTATACATATAGACTGCACATGCCAATACCCAACCTTCACATGAAGGTTCATGAGAACTCTTCATAACTTACCCCCTTTTCATAAGCATTGTACTTAAAATAAACTTTCCATTTCCATTGAACTCATTATACACGCCCTACTCAGCATCACAATCCATAAAAGGATGTACATTTTCCCGTCCTGCACGTGGTATGAGATCTTCTGATCTCGCAATAATGCTAGCCTTGTCACTTCATTGACAAGCTAGACATTATTATTGCTCGATTATAACTTTATTGAATTATAGTAAAACGGAAATATACATATGGGAATAAAAGAGGATCGAAGTTGAATAGTCAAAAACCCATCTTCCTAGAAACTTGCATTTGTGTTGTTCCTACTAGTGTTAGGTACAGCATAACTGCCTTACTGTCCCAACTGCCAATTGCTCTTATCTGGGTGAGGGAAAGACCAGCTTCCATAGCTGCTGTTGCTCCTCCTATCCTAATGCTATGTGCTGTATAGCAGCCTTCTAGACCCGAATGTTTGGCAAGCCTTTTAACAATTGCTCCAATCGCACTCACAGTTAACTGCTTGCCTTGTCTAGAAAGAAAGAGAGGACAGTTCTCTGAGGTTTTTGGTCTGATTGATATAAATCTCTCTAGCAACCTTACAGGGCAGTAGGAACTATTTATGCACTCGATAGGGATAAACTTCCCATTATAGAATTGGTCTGTTTTTGATGAACCTATTCTAATCCAACATACATTTCCCTTAAATTTAATATCCTTCAGTTTTAATCAGCAAAGCTCTCCTGGTCGTCTCATAGTTCTCAAGCCTATTGCCACCAATGCTGCATCTCTTATCCAAAAGTTTTTATCTGCATAAAGAGGTTTCTTATCAATGAAGTTTCTTAAGGCCAAGACAGGGAGTGGGTCACGTGGCCACTCAGGGTCTCTATCCTTCCTATGTTCTTTTAGCAGGGCTCTATAAATTGTCTTAACTTTGTATGCCTTTGAAGGGTCTGGGAATTGAGCATTTAAATGTTCCTTTGACACTGCAGCTAAGATATCTGTGCACTTCGCAAAAGCATGAGTCAAGTCTAGCCATATAAGACAGGAGACAAGTGTATTCACAGAGGAAGGTAGAGCCTTTTGCTTAGTAATTTTACAAAAACTGAGAAATATGCTCCAAGCCTTGTCCAAACAGTTATTCCAACCTCTAGAGAATGCTTTACTAAATAAGGACTGAGCCTTAACCAACAGTTTACTAACTAATTTACTCTTATTGCTAGAAAACACTACTCTGGGTTTTTCTATGGTTCTACTACTTCTGACAGACCCTTTATGAATGTTATTTGTGGAGGTGGAAGCACTAACTGGTCGACTTGTATATGCATTAGTGTCGGCCACCACTCCGCAGAGACCCACAGGGGGACTATTACTGTTGCAGAAAAATTTCCTTCTACTATGTGATGAAGTACTCGATGGATTAGACCTAAGGGAGGACAAACGTAATTGTTTTCGTTTGACCAATCTTGAGCGAAACAGTTTACTCCCTCTGTGCCCGGACAATAAAATCGGCTGTTGAAGCGCAATAGCTTTGTATTATGATAGTCTGCCATTCTGTCTACAGAATGTAGTCCCCATTTCTTGTCTATTAGCTTGAACACAGACTGTGCCAAAGTCCAATCGGCTGTGTCGACATATCTGGTTAATGAATCGGCTGGGTTTATTTGTGTAGGAATCCAAAAAGTTTCATTGATCCAAATGTCGTAGCTGTCTAGCAGTAACCACAGTCTCCTTAGAAGATCTTTCTGCCATGGTAATCATCCCCCTTTTATTACTGTACTGATTGCTGCTTGATTGTCTATATGCAGGTCCACCCACGAATATGCTAGCAGACTTGCAAAAGAACTTATTCCAAGTAACACAGCCTCTGCTTCTAGCCTTGTGATTTCTCTGAATGATTTCTTTGCACTCCAGTTCCTGAATGCCTGATGATTGTCGAACACTGCTGACCATCCTACTGTTGAAGCGTCTACAAAAACAGACTTTATTTTTGAAGGCTTCCAGGCTGGGCGCCCATTGTATTTTTCTAAATTCATTGCTAACCACTTTGCATCTTCTTTTGCTTGCTCTGTTAGTTTAATCATTGAATCCCATTGCCAATATCTTCTGCTTGCTGTGTCTATTAAGGAGTAAAACTCCAAACATCGAACTCTTGTGTGAGCGAATGCTCTGTTGAGAAATTGAATTTTCCCTGTTACAACTGCTAACTGATATGCTGAAATTACCTCCTTGCCTATGAGTTCCTCTAACAGTAATCTTGTCATACAAATCTTGTCTTTGGGGACGATAACTTGAGCCTTGACTGTATCGATTATTAGGCCATAAAATTTGGGCTGCTGAGTTGGTTCCTATTGACCTTTTGACAATTCTCTTATCAAACCACACTTTTCTAAATCTGTTCTTATTACGCTGTCTCTTATTGATATTAATGTATGGGATGAAGGGTGAGCCACCCAAAAATCGTCTATATAATTTCCACAGAAAATGCCGAGTGACTTCCAATGACTGATGATGGCTCTCATTACCTTCGAAAATATCCATACTGCCTGTGACAGGCCAAAAGGCAAAACTCTATAATGGTACCATTTTCCTAGAATCTAAAAACCTAAGAATCTTTGGGCATTTTCTCTCATCATAATGTGATGGTACCCCTCTTTCAGGTCCCAAGTTATTATATACCAACCTTTTCCAATAGTCTGGAGCATACCACCAAGACCTTCTAAATGAATAGTTTTTTCTGACAAGATCGCATTTAATCGCCTTAAATCGATAAATAGCCTCCATTTCTTTGGGCCCCTCTTGGGAACCAGAAAAATGGGGCTTACTTCTAATAAGAACTCGGGACGCTTTGTCTGTTCTCCTAAATACTGAATTGCTGAGGTTTTTAGAAGACGTTCCAATTCTTTTAATACCCATTGAGACTGTTCTTCTGATAGGGGATATTGCCGTGGGTCTGGCTTTGCTGCTAAAACTAATACCCCCCTTGGCCATAGTGGAACACCGTTTATTAACCAGTCTAGAACTACTGGTGAGGGTTTTATTTTTTGCTTCCAATATTGTAAAACTTCCTTTTGCTGAATCTTTCCTACAACTGATATCAACTTCCCTGTCTCTGAGGACTTGATTTCTACTAAACCCATTGCCTGAGGCTGAGTGTAGTCAATCTTCCTTTTGGGTTCTGGAGAGGGACTTCGCATTTGCTGAAGGGCAGTTTGTTGCGATATGGCCAAAACCTCCACAGTTAAAACAGGTGATTCCCCTGGAACGATCTGAGGACTTAAGGTCTTCTCTACCTCGAAAGGAGTATATCCTTTTACCTCTCTTTCTATTTTTCCTAAAGGAACCTTTGTTGTCAGAGTCTGATGATGAGGAAGAGTCATAAAACCCATCTCTCTTCCTCTTATATTGGTACCTATTGGACCTATTCTTATAACCCCAATTATTTATATTTCTGAAAGATAGTGGGTTGGCCTATAACTGGAATTCGGTCCTTATACTTTTCCATCATTTTGTCATTATTTCCTACAATTTGTAAAGCCGTTTTCCACCCTTTCTCATTCGCAAGCCTCAACATAACTGCTCTAGATTCCATGTCATCTCTAATACAAATAAAATCTTTCTTAAAATTATTAGGAAGTGATTTAATGGCTTTATCCAAACGTCTCCCATTTTGGAGAGGAAATCATATTCATGCTGGTCTCTGGCTTTTGTGAGTTTAACAGTAGGCCATGCTTCGTTCAGCAAATCACCCTCCTCGATCTCCTTATGTAATGCTGAAAAATTTTTATCCATAAGTTTCTTAAGGCCGACAAGAACATGTCAGCAGACATAACTTCTGGATGGCACCTCTGCTCCTGCCTTTGAAATCCTGCTGCAAGCGTATCTCTAATGTTATCATCTGCAAATTGTGAATTCAATTCAACACAATCCTCCTCCAAATCGGCAATTCCCTCTCTTTCAAATACTCTATCACCACAATTACTAAACTCATTACCAGCCCCTTCTGTATCAATGTATGGGTCATGGCTCATCTCTCCTGCAACAAATTCAGAATCAGGTTGTTTACCCTTTCTCTTTTCGAAAAATGCATGAAGTCTTTCACCCAACTCTTTCTTATTCCCTCCTGAGGTTAACCCGCAAGTTAAACACAACTCCTTTAGTTCAGCCAAAGTTAATTTATTCCAACTCACGAATGACATTTTAACGATACTACTATTGATTTGAATTATTGTTTATTGATTTATTTAATGCTTATTTATTTTAACAGTATATTATCGAAAGAGCCAGCCTAGTACTATAAGGCGGGCAATAGCAAAACCAAAACTAACGCACCTTAAATTCACTTGTACCTAAAATACTTACCACGATACAGGTATTTGCCTTAACCTTAACCCGCTTATACGTATAGACTGCACATGCCAATACCCAACCTTCACATGAAGGTTCGTGAGAACTCTTCATAACTTACCCCCTTTTCATAAGCATTGTACTCAAAATAAACTTTCCATTTCCATTGAACTCATTATACACGCCCTACTCAGCATTGCAATCCATAAAAGGATGTACATTTTCCTGTTCTGCACGTGGTATGAGATCTTCTGATCTCGCAATAATGCTAGCCTTGTCACTTCATTGACAAGCTAGACAAAAATTCAAACAATTTACAAAACCCAAATTTTAAATTTTGGGTAACTCATAATTTTAAAATTCTTTATGTTGGTATGAGCGAAGAACTTTGTATAATTAAGTCAATTGGAAATAATCTGGGAACACAAGTTTGTCCCATTGAAAATTTTTATGAAATAATTTGTGGTGCACATCAAGCAATGGAGCATGCTAGTCAAGACAAAACCTGGCGAAAGGTTATTATTATTATTATTATTATTATTATTATTATTATTATTATTATGATTATACTTACTTTTTTAATGATCAAACAAGATTTGTATGCAGTATTGTTTTATTTCACAAAAGATAGTTGATGATGCCATTCGTAAATGCAGAGTTTGCATTACAAGACATGCCTTTATAAAAATTCCACCCATTCAACCAATAATTTCAGAAGGCTTTTTGCAACATATTCAGGTAAAAATAATAGTATATTTATATATATATATATATATATTTATATTTATAAAAATTTATTTGTAGATAGATACTATTGATCTGATATCGACATTCAATAGAATATATAAATACATTTTTCATATCAGAGATTATTTTTCAAAGCTTTCATATGCAGAACCTTCTTCATCTAAGGCAGCAGAAGAAGCTGCAGTATGCTTACTTAACTTCTGTATGATATACAGTTCTCCAATTGTATTACATTCTGATAATGGTGGTAAATTTGTTGGAAGGGTTATTAAAGAAAGTTTAAGTCTCTGGTCAACTATTAAATTGGTAAATGGTAGATTGAGAAACCCATGTTGTCAAGGATTGGTAGAAAAAGGAAATGGTATTCTTCAATCCAAATTAGGATCTTGGATGGAAGAGACAGGTTGAACTGACTGGAGTATAGAATTAAAATTTGTTATTTGTGTGTTTTTTTTTGTTTTATTTTTTTTTAAATTTTTTTTTTATTTTTTTTTTATTTTTTAAATCTTATTAGTGCCATTAGGATGCAAATACCCTTATATAAAATTTTAACTTACAAAAAAAACCTTTCTTACATATTACAATTTTTATATTAGTTATAATTTTATTGACTTAATAAATAATATATACAAAATGTGGCATACAATTTCTTATTCTTTTTTATTTAATTTTTTATTTGATTTTTTTTTATTTAATTATTTTTATTTATATTTTATTTAATTTTTTATTAAATTTTTTATTTTTTTATTATTTATTTCTATTTATATTTTTTATTTATTATTTTTTTATTTATTATTTTTTTATTATTTTTTAAATTAATTATTTATTTAATTTATTAATTTTTATTATTTAATTTACATATTATTATTATATATTTTATTTATTATACTAACTTAAAATTAAACATTAAAATTGTTAGGAGCTATGAATACTCAGTATTGTTCTGCACATAAATCAATTTCTTATAAATTAGTATTCGGTCAGCTTCCTCATTGTGATACTAATTTAGTTGATATATTAGAAAATGAAGAGTCATTGAATGATCATACTCTAATATTTGAAGACTCACAATCAATGATTGTTTCTGAAATAAATAATGAAACAATAGAATCAGATTTTTCTAGTAATATAGAACAAGTTTAAGAAAATTATAGTGATGTAGATGTTGGTGAAATACAAGATATTTATGATATAAATGAAATATATAGTGATGATGTTATTGTACAAGATATTAATGATAATTGTGCACAAGAAATTTATAATGATTTATTATCATTATATTGTTCTGAAATTGAAGAGGATTCTAAAAACATACCAATACAAAAAATTACTGAAATTAACAATTTGGATGATGATTTTGAAATTGGAGAGTGTTCTAAGAACATATTAGTTCCTGAAATTATTGAAATTATCGATTCTGATGATGATTCAAGTGAAAATTAATGTTATATTTTGCAAGAAAAAAAGAAGTGGCGAGCTCAATCTGAAGAAACTAAGGTTAGTTAAATTACTATATTAACAAAAATAAATAAATAAAAAAAAAATAAAAATAAAAAAATAAATAAATAAAATAAATAAATAAATTATTGACAATTAAATTTTTTTTTTGTAATCAAATTTGACTCATCCTTTGTTTGATAAGCATGAAACAGTTTGACAATCAGCAATTTTAAACATAAAAAGAAACTGGAAGCTTATACAAAGTAGAATAGAAGAAACATATAAGATTAAACATAATCAAATATTTGAGCCTGATGATTTTATAAAATTTCATATACTGAATATTGACAAAATTAAAATGAGTTGAAGATCCTTACCCTGCAAAGTATTTCAAAAAAACCTAATATTAACTCGTATCAAGTTGCTTGCCAATATGGAATACTTGAACATTGATATCTAGCAAGCGAACTTGAGCCACTTGAAACTCCTGATTATCCTTCTCTTAACGTGGTTCCTTTAAATAAAACTATTTCATTGAGACAAGTAAGTTTTAAACAAACTAATGAACTATCCTCAAGTCAAAATAATGACAATGATAAGTTCTTTATTAAGTAAGTAAAAATTTATTATACAATATATATATAATGATGGTTAATAAATTAATTATATTATGCATTTAGAAATAATCAACCAAAAAAGACACCTCAAAATAAATATTGTTATAAGCATAAATTAGATCATCAAATTATGATCGAAATTGATGATCGAATGCATATTTGTTTGTATAGGCACATTACTATAGGTAGCATATTTAGCACATTCAGCACATATGGGATATTTGGGACATTCAGCATATTTAGAACATATAGAACATTTGATATATTTAGTAAATAGTATATATAGCAGCATTTATTCTAATGTAAAAGGCAACAACCCCCACTTCTAGCATACACTTTAATAAAGCATACACTTGCCTCTGCCAAATCAAACATCCTCTTTTGATACATTATAGTACTATCATTGAACATTATGCAAACCCTGTCCCAGTTTACTCTACAGAGTAGGGATTTTAAGGCATACATTCTTAGCACATTACAATATTCAAATTGTCACTAACAAAAAACTAACTGCTCTTCTACTGCTTGTTCTTGCTGAAAAAATAACTTATTGTGTACACGACAATGTGAGTGTGTTTTACATGATGAATGTAAAAATCGATGAAATTCTTTTTTAGATTTGTTTAATTTTTAGTTATGCAGATCCTTTTTATTAGGTCTTTTTTTTTTTATTAATATGCACTTAAATGCTATATTTTTTAATTTATATGTAAAATTATATGTAATTTTTTATAGCTATGCAAAGGAATGCTTATGATACAATTAATTAATATTTTATTATCAGTTGTATAAATTTGGTTTCACTGATTGAGAAATAACGTACGTCATTTCAAAATTTAAAAATGACAGGTCAATTTAGAATCGACCTAAATTGTGAAATGACGCAGAACATTCATACGGCATTTATAACGATATATTCTTATGAAATGAACTCAAGTTTTTTATTGGTAAAAACGTTACGTTTTCAAAAATTGTATAATATCAGCTATGCCATGTAAGGTTGTTAATGGAGTACTCCAGTCAATAATAAAACATATAACCCACTCCGGAGCACTCCAGAAGCGGGTTATATGTTTTATTATAGTCTGGAGTACTCCATTAACAACCATAATGCCATGTGCTTTGTACACATTTACAGGTTACACAATTAGACAAATTTAGACATGTCGATCTGTTTTTCTAAAAAATAAATAATGCCTGTTTTTTAAAAAAAGTATTTCTACCTAAGACGAGGATTGCAGATTGATAACAATATCATCTTTTTGAACCTGTTATGAGATAAACGTAGATCAGTATTTATCAGTAACTAAGTCATAAAAGTTTCTATGTTCTCTAATTTTTTTATTTTGAATTTTATATAATTATTATATTAAAGGCTAGTTCTGTAGTTAATCTTAAAGGTTTTAAAAAGCATATTTGATAATTTGTAAGTTTCTTGGAAAATTAATTTCAGTGTTCAGAGTATAATGTTTCAGGTCCCAATTACCATGGCACCGTATTCTGCCTTCATATCAATTCGTAATGGGTATTATTGAAAGATTTTTTATAAGCTATTGCACAAAATGCAATACAATGTGAGCATGCTTTATCAAGCAATAACAACTATGTTTTTGATATTATTACTGATTTTGAGAAATGGTATTGTTCAAGTATTCGTCAGACAATGAAGGAAACCCGAAATTTAAACTTTCTAAACCAATTGGGTCGTATATGATGATGAAGATGTAAAAGCTTGTGCACAAAAGGTTTGTTATATTGCATAGCTTTTAGAAAAGAAGAAAAGAAAGACCAAAACCAACATAAAGAAAAATAAGCAGACAGAAAATTTTAATCCTGCCTCGTGAAAACAATCAGAAGCTAGTGAAATATGACATCAAGGTGGTCCTTATTAACTAAGTGCAGAGGTAAAACAATAAAATAGACGTTCTTAATAAGGTTAGCAGCAGCTAACAATGACCAAAGAAACTAATTTTACTGAGTTAAAGATTTGGAATGGATTCGGTCGGTTATTTTCGACTTAGCCGACCGGCTAAACCGAAAATAACCGACCGAGTCCATCCCTAGGCGGGTCGTACTTGGTCAGCTTTGCAGTAAGTCTTTATTAGCTTAGGATATAAGTACATTTAAACTATAGAATTATATTAGTTCTGTAGGGAATCGTAATTAATAACATCTGTATACCAGGATGAGTGTATGGAGTGGGATTGGTTCGCGAAATCTTGAGTTTGATTGGTCGGCATGATTTGTTCATCAAATTTTGGTTATTTTTCACACATGAATTCGAATACAAAAAAATGCAAACGTAAGCATGTCTTAGCTGCGATAGCTAACGAAAGTAAAAGCAAGAATTTTAGACACAAAAATCGGTAACCTGATGCAAATTAATTTGCGTATTTACCTGATATTTAGTATTTTTTATTGGGTTGATGGAATGATAATCGCTGATCGTCAAGGACGAGAGAAAATTAATTTTTTTGGATAATCGGATAACCAGATAATTTATTACATGATACATTGTAGATTAGCTAATGCGAGTCGATTACCTATAGTGTATATCACAATATATTAATGAGATGCTGGATCAGTTCTCGCTTGTACGTTACTTGGACTATTTGTTAACTACTATATTTGCTTTCATTCCTAATGCATCGCGCAGCTATTTTATTAATATATCAGTCATGCTAAATCAAATAAATCGTGTTGTGAAAATTATGTAATTGGACGGACAGAAAATTTAGAGTTACGTTTTTAATGTATTAATATAGAATGCATTAAAAACGTAACCTTGTATCACTATGCATAGAATTTAAGTTCTTCACTTCGCTCCAGACAATTATTTTTCATTATTGACAGAGAAATAGCAATCATACACATACACACGTACATATGTACCGTAGAGTATGGTTTTTATAGATAAGTTAAAGTTATCTCTATTGTATCTGATTGGGTAATACTTTGTTTTTCTATATTTGTATCGACATTATGCGTATGTCTATAAATACTTGTAACATAGATTTTTCTTTTACTTGTTTTATTCACAGTTCAATTTGCGAATTCACTTAAATTTTTCTATTATATATAAATATTTACTATTAAACACCATTTTATTCGTGTGGCCTAGTACATTGAGTCTGGTGAACTTAAGGTTTAAAGTATACCATTGAATTTTAATTTCATTTATTCGTGTCAATTTAGCGCGTAATATAAGATGCATTTACTAGTCAACATATCAAATAGGCATGAATACTACCATTTTATTTTTATTTATTTAAGAGAATTACTACAATTCACAGCACTGCATAAATAAAAAATTGGTTATTGGTTTTTTTTTTTTTTATTTATTTTATTAATTTTTTTTAAAAAAAAAAAATTTTGATTGGTTAAATGTAAGGTTGTGAATTTCACAGCCTGGGAAGATTAGCAATACTTTTTATTTAAATGCGTGAATATAAACAATATTTGTTAATCGAATCATTAAAACATTATTAAATTTTATGAATTTTTATTACTTGATTTCATTTGATTCGTAGAAGGCTTATGAATTTAAGTATTTGAGTAGACTATTAAACTTAATAAATATTTGTTATATAATTTCATTTGCTTGTATTAATTTAAGGGTGATTATAAAAAACTTTGTCAGTTAAAGAAACACCTAAAATAAACCGTTAGATTTTATTAGTATTTATTATTTGATTACATGATATAAAGAAAATTTATTGATTTAAGCATATTTAAATTATTAAACTTATTATTTATTAATTCCATTTTTATTTGTATTGATTTAGTGAATTAAGTATTAATAAATTTTGTTAGTATATGCATTTAAAATAGACCATTAAATTTAAAGAGTACTGTATTTTATTCGTGCTAATTTATTGCATAATAGAAATAATGTTTATAATCTAAGCATTTAACAACCCATTAAATTCAAGCATTAATAAGCCATTAAATTCACGAATATCTTAATTAGTAAAGGTTATTTTACATAAATAAGAAGATTCTTAAATGGAAAATTATTTATTCAGTAGATCAGACTCTTATTACGATCTGGAAATTGCACCTGGTCATAATGCCATAAATTTTCATATGGTAAAAATGCCATAACATCCGTTCCTGGTTTTGCGCGCAGCTATCTTATTTACTATAATTCACTGAAAATCATTACTAGCCTGATGTGGTTAACTAAATGAAAATAAACTTTCAATAAAATATACCAAAAATAATCGGTTTTTAATAATATATAAATAATAACTTTAAGCAAACATTATAATAATTTAGCAATAAAAATTGAGAAACTCGGACAACTCAAATATGTTCAGATAAAATTTAACTCTAAATAACAAAAATTTATTATAATAACTGATTTAAACTATTAAAGAAAACCATTTAAAACATGTATATTTTGGGAACATATTTATAAGCGTTGGACTGTCAGAAGGACTATTCAAAAAAGTTCGAACATCTAAAATATGCTAAATCAACCAATTTTTTTATATGATCATAATAAATAAGTATCAAAATGCTACTGGAAAATAGATCCCAAAAGAATAAGAAAAAGTAAATTTGTTACGTATAATGACTAGCTAATAATATGAAGTTTTAGGCTTAAATTGCATAATTTTACAATAATAATTTAATTAAAGTTATAAAGCGCTTTTAAAAAAGTTCTTATTATAATAAACACCTGGTATCTTTAGAAAGTCGAATCTATGCGGTACTTATTTGGTACTAGATACAGTACTTGAAATATCAGAATGTGTGCACTTCTTTTTTGCAAGTACTTGTTTATGGCTTAATATTACTTTGCTATCTTTACCATTTAGTTCACTTTCAAACTGATTCACCAGATCATCAAATTCTTCAAGTGAAATGTTCATTAAATGAGCAAATTCATTCCTCACATTTCTATAAAATAACAAAACAATTTCAAGAAGAAACTCTCCAGAAGCGTGATCACTTCCAACCTGTATTTCCTCTATTCGATGCGATATCGATTCGGTTTTTTCAGTCTCCTCAAGATAATTTTCAAAGTTTTTCAATATATCATCATCAATATTTTGTGCCTTGAACCACGAATTCCCTAAATTATTACGAATAGGTTAAAAAAAATATTTCATGAGGCCTCCTAAATACATTTCCTTTTAATGCAGCACTTCTTTAAATATCTATTTGAACCATAAAATGATATTTTTGTTTTTTTTTATCACCACAACCTGCATTTAAAAGAGATCTCACTGCATATGCGATAAACATACATGCGTTATTTAATCGTGTATATGCTGGTCCATAAGCAACGTCGGAATTATATGTATATATAACCTAATATAAATAACGTTATAATCTGTAAAAATAATATAAAGTTAAATTCTTTTTCTCACCTCTAACCAACCTCCCGGCTTTAATACTCTAAAGATCTCCGATAAAACTTCTCGGAATAAATTTTTTTCGGTAAATAAAATTTCTCCTGTCGAAAAAATATAATCAAATTCATTATCGAGGAATGGTAGCTTTTTAAAAATATCACATCCAATAAGTGTAAGATTCTTAATTTCATCGGTAAGAGATAATATAATAGAATCAATTGCATAAAATTTTGAATTTGGATATTCAGCAGCAACCTAATGTAATTATGGAAATTAATCTCAAAAAAAAACTCCCCAAAATTTTCAACATTCATAAAATGATAGTATTGTTAATACTTCTTTAGACCAAACTGCACCCTCGGAACTTTTTTTTTTTTACGAAAAAATTTAAATTAATAAGTTTTTGTAAAATCATTATTAAATAATAAGAGTATATGATTTACCAAAATTCTAGCACTTTAGCGCCGTTTCGCAAATTTTCATGAACTGGAGCGCCTATTTTTCCGTTAAATAAATACTCGTAAAAACTGTATAAATAAAGTTTAGTATTGCTTATTTCTTCTTCATCTATAATAAGGTTGTGCCAATTACTTTTAGATATATTTTCATGTTTTTTAAACTGTGAAGGACTCATTGTGAAGTTTTTTTAGATGAATACTTAAAAAATCTAAATATGTATCATTTTATTTATCCTAAATTCACTTCATTTGTAACTTTAAACAAAATCAATCATAGGTAATGATTCTAAAAAGATCATCATAAACGGGTAGATAGAACGTTCTGAAAGGCATTTGCTATTACATCATTTACATATTATCGTAACCTTTTTTTGAGTGATGGCAGAACAAATTTGCGATCAGGTGATTGAGACCAATCAATGATCAATAACTTTGTATATTAATAGGTTCAGAACGATCAGAGATCACCTGATCGCGAATTTTTTCTACCATTTACGTATTATGCTACCTTTTTTAGACCTTTTTAGATAAGATTTTATATATTTTTTCCCGTAATATTTTATAAATACGTACCAGGAATGGAGTACGAAGTATATAGGGTATGATTTAATAGCAAATTAAGTTGTATGTACAATTCTCCGCATCTGATTTGATTTGATAACCCTTTCCCATGACATTTTTTTCTATATTTATACGTTAGTTGAAATATTAACTAGTTGATAACTTTCCAACTAATCGATTAAATCATTAGTTCAATTCTGAGATATTCCTTCTATTCAAACTGATTCATGTCGATTTCTTTAGTTTGATTGACTAATCAACAAATTTAGTCATATTATATGAACTTATGGACGTTAATCTACAATTTTGGATTAGTTAAGTTGAATGATGTGACAATTCTAATTCAGCTATCACTAAAGCTAAATCAATTTTATGGCTAGGGAATGTTTGTCGGAGACATTTCTTGCCTAAGAAAAAACATGTCAATTATATGTCTTATCGAAAAATCTGCTGTAGATGAAATATCATGTCGGCATTACTATGTCGGGAAATGTGTTGTAATTTTCAGGTATTTGAGCGACAACCTTATAAATAGGGTATGTTCACTATTTCAGTAATGGGTAGATTTACGATTTCATTAGTCGGTGTTTTAGTGATTTCAACTGGGGTTCTGCAAATGCTCGCGCCGGCACATGGAGCATTATGGCGGGCACTAATGCCTCATGCCATGCCTAGCGCCTGTGCCTAGCGCCTGTGCCTAAATATGTGCCTGGCATTTTTTAGGCGGGCGCTAGGTGCCTGTTCCTTTGTCTGTGCCGGGCAAAATTTAATATTACGGTTGCTTACGGCAACTTGATTAAGTCAAGTGCATATACATGACGCATTACTTGAGTACCAGGAGCGTTGGCACTGTGCCAGGGCATCATGCCTAGTGTTGATGCTAAGAAAGTTCCTGGCATTTTTCAGCATGCATTAAGTGATTCTATACCTATGCCCAGGGTTGGCAATGGACTATGTCCATTTAAAATAGATCTAAAATAGATCTATCAATGGACCAATACTATAATCCATTGGTCTATTTGATACCTTCATATTTTTAAAAATAATTTGCTCAACTATACAGTCAACAATCTGATAAAGTTAAATGATTGTATAAATTACGATTTTATCAAATCTAATAAAGATTACTTTTAAAATTATGATAATCATATGTATTGTTTTTTTTTAATTTTATATAAAATTCCCAAATTCTGTGTATCTTTGTAATTCCATATAAAATCTTGTATAAATCTTGTATAAATCTTATATAATAAGTTGCAATTAAACAATCAAGTTATATTTATATTATAATATTTTTAAAGTTACATATATAATTATTTATGCATAATTGAATAAGAAATTTACTTTCATACTTTTTTAAAAAAAATTTATCAGTATGTATTTTATTATTATTTAATAACTATAAATTATAATATAAATTGTAATTTTATATAATTTATTAACTTAATTACAAGTTGATTTGTAAAAAAAAACAAGTTGCTTATAAATTAAATAAATATTTAAAAATATTAGTAATTTTTATTTTAATTTTTTTTATCATTATGGATCTTTTCTAACTATAATGTCAGTAACTACTAATGCTAAAAAACTCAATCAAAAAACAACATTCTGGAGAAAAATAAAAACATTATCTTACAGAATATATTATTACTATTAATGAATATATTAGTCTTTAAAAACTAATTAATAAATATTGCTATTACCATCCTTGTTTTGAAGTTTCAAATTCCAAAAAAGTTAAACTTGTTAATAAAAAATTATCTTAAAACATATATAAATTTTATATATAAGATTGGTGAAGAAAAACAAGTAGGCAATATTTTAAATAGTAAAAAATAGTTGATAAAAAAATGTAATTAAATTATCAAGAAGATAAAAATTTTATTATAATATTTTAATATTAAATAATTAAATAAATAATAATTTTATAATTTTAAAATCTTTTGATAAAACAAAAATTAATAATTTTTTGCCTATACATCAATTATTTCTAAATAACTTTAATTTGAAAATCAAAATTTAAATATTACTGTAACAAATGATTAGTTATTTTAATATATAAAAAACAAAACTGTTATTGCGTATTATAAGTAACTAAATTCTTATTTAGTATTATTTAGTCAAAAGTAGCTAGCTAAATGTATTTTAAAAATACAATTAAAATTAATAAATCATATATATAAAATAAAGTATATAGTGATTAGCATAAAATTATAATTACTTTTGATGAATAGAAGAATATTATAAACTAGAAAATTTTAGTATTAATTTTAAATACATCAAATAATAACACATTAATATAAAATATAATAATATAAATAGGTATAAAAAAAATATGAAGATATTATAAAAATTACTAAAAAAATATTTAAAAAAATTAATTTATTAAAAATATAAATAATAAAACTTGTAATTGATAATGGTACAGCTTATGCTATCTCAATATAATTAAAATTATTAATTTAAAACTTATTACTAAATATATAAAATAATAATTTTTATTACTTTCATTATATTATAAACATAGATTAAAATTAATACAAGGGTATAATAACTTAGTAGATAAGATATCAACCTCTTAAGTAGTAGATTGTGAGTTCAAAACTTACTGACAGTAAAAATTTGGTTAATCACTAATGTAATATTTGTTTTACAGCAACTGTTTCTAAGAATTGGATTAAAATATCTATAATTATAATAGCATGACTAACTGGTTATAAAAGATTTATATAACTGATTACACAAAAAATGCAAACCAGATTAGGTAGTACAAACCTAAAATAAGTACTTATGATTATATAAATCTATAGAAATTAGAAACAAGAAGCCTATTTAGTAAAATCTAAGCAAAGAGATAATATAAATTTTTGATAGTCTATTATAAAAACTAAACCTAGAAAATAGATACCAATATAGAGTATCCAAACAAACAAAAACCTCTAAGTTGAGAATACTACCAATTAGTCTGCCCAAATTCTAACTAAGAGAACTGCAAGAAAGAATATTAGGCTAATCTAATATACCAATAGATGGTTATAATCCTACAAAACAATCTGGATTAAGAGTTTAAAAAAAAAACAGAAATATACTAAAAGTATTAAAAATATACTATAAAGTAAGTGCTAAGATCTAAGTGAACTTTGCAAAAGCAAACCCTGTTAATAGTTTATAAAGTAGATAAATTAGTTAATAGAAAGGTTTTCTAAACTCTATAGTCAGGTAATATATTTTGAAATTGAGTAATACTTGACAGATGTACAGAAAAAGAGATATAATGTTGGGCTAAACAACATTTAGATGTATAAGAATCAAGATAACTAATTGCCTAGATGTCGTATAAGAACCAGAGTATTTAATTAAATAATTTTCTAGTAGATTATAAATATGACAGCTAATGTAGAACCCTCAAATAGATTATTTAAATAAGTAACCAAAAGTTACATGTCTGTCTAGTTGTATACTTACTTTGCATAAGTTAAATCTGTCTAAAAATTTTATGTTATGAAAAACAATAAATAAAATTTGTATGATTTTAATTAATTATTTTTTTCATTTAAATAACTAATCAATTAGTTCAACTTCAATTAATTGATATCTAAAAAGTTCTATAAATTAATTGTCAACTAATTAATTATTTCATTCTTAATTGTACCATTAATTATTTCATTCTTAATTGTACCATTAATTATAGAAACTAATTACATTAATTTAAATAATATATTTAACATTCAATTATGTGTTTGGATTGTATATTTTATAACTAATAATAATATAAAATACTCTGTTTAACAAAAAAATGCTGTTATTAAAAATAATTTGGATATTACATTGTATTTTTGTACTTGTTGTGACTTTCAAATTTGACAATTGCTATTGTTGGGTTTGGTATTTTGCGACTTTGTCGCTCCACAATTCAAAACCTCATGTAACATATAATAAGTAACCTTTTCGAAAGAGGGTGTTAGATTTGGCTAGTAAGCGATTAAGGCTTTCAGTTACTTGGGGTCAATGAATACAAGCTGGGTAAGTCACATGGTAAAGGGCTTGAACAATGATGTTTACAGGAGTTTACAAGGTTGGTAACAGTATTAGTGTTAGTGTTTATTATGTACAATGTAATGTATTAGGAGTTATAGTTTAATAAAGCAAACTAGACATATCATCCCTTAGGGCTATTTCGGCCTTTATTTATAATATCTTTTTTTTTTAATTATAATCTATTTAATTAAATTTATCATATTTCTCTATTTAATTTGATTTCTCTAACTTATCGAATTAAACTATTTTACTTAATAAATCCCCTTAATCCCTTTAATTTCCTTAATCTCTTTTTCTTGATTTATTTAATTAATCGAATTAATTTGATTAATTGCCGGGATATCTAAATCAAGGAATTGATCGTCGTAACTGCTATCACGTAAGTCCCAGCATCCAATTTCTATCACGTTATTGGATCTAACACTATGCAAACACGTATTTGTTATAATAATTCGGTTTTATGTCCATGATAAAAGTAATCAGAAAACAGTTAAACCATCACATAGTTTAAATTATCTTATTGATACCCTCAATTTTCCTACAAATCAAGAGAAAGATTAAAGATAAGTAATGAAAATAATGAATTTGAAAAATTGAAAGAGATGTTTTCTGTTATTTTCTTGAAATAGAAAATAAAAAAAAAGATATCAATAGCTTGTGACTAATCCTTCAGCAAGCTATACAGATGAAACAAGCTAAGATTGCAAGGGTCAAAACAGTTCTAATGATTATCAATAATAGTTCAAAAGAAATCTCTCAAAAAAATGCATCAAATATGAAATTTCAAAAACAAATTAGATATTAAAATTATTATCAGCATAATGTATTATTTGCATGATTGTATAACTATATAAAAAAACAAATTGACATGTAATCATTATTTTGATGCTAAGTTACATAAATGTTCTGTAATTTTCTACTTAACTTATACTATATTCCTACAAATTAATATGAATAAAATTGGTATAGTACCTTTTTAAATGCAAATCTTTAAGAATTATAAATCATACTATTGTATACCAAGTTGATATAAATAGTATAAACATCAACAAGGTTAAAGCGCCTGTTCTCATACTTCGGAATAGAATAACTAGAGTTCAAATAATAAAAATGTCAAAAAACTTCGCTTTGATATAATAATTTTACCTAATAACAAGTGTGATAAATGTAATTTCTCATTAATCATATTGAATTCAGTTTCAAAGATAATAATTTATTTAATATGATTAATTTAGATCATACCCTCAAATATTATTTGTAAATTTTATTAAACTTATTAACTATATAATATATTTGTATTAATTTACAAATTTTTACCCATTAAAATACCGACCCATTTGTAAATATTAAAGTATATCCACAAGAATGTACTGAATATTAGTATTCAATAAATGTCTATAATGTAAAGTGCCAAAAATGTATAAAAAATTAGAATACTAGAAACAAAAAAAAAAAAAATTAAATAAATAAAACGTATATAAAATGTAACAAGTGCAAATATAATCATTGAATTCGAATTGAGATAGTAATTGGCTCCAGGTTTCTATTAAAAAAAACTACCAAATAGTTGTGCTGTGAGTATGGCGATCATCATGGAAATTAAACTGTTATAACTTGCTATCGTAACAGATGCTGATTTTGTGGTCGGCTTAGGGCTATCTGTTTGAGTATTAGAATTGGTAGGACTTGGAACTTTAGCAACCGAACTACTATTGTTAGGTACGTTAATGTATTCAGCAAATGATGGATAGGTAATGTTCGTTTCAGCATATGGATGAGTAATATTCAAGCACGAAGCGATAGGAACAACATATTTATAGGCACTTTTGATCTTTGGGTACCATTCGACAGCCTTAGACATAGTGCCATTGTTTAGTTCATGCTCCAGAACGATTGCACCAGAAGTAGCGAAGGTTCCATTTTGACCCATATCAACAAAACTTTGAAAGAGTGCATCAATTTGTGCCGGCTGTTCGGTGCCTGCGGGTACCATGTTCCAATCATTGGTATCTATAAATGTTGTAATTGGGTTAGATTGAACAAACTCTATTATTGTTTAACATTCGGTCGTTTACTTACCAAGATTCCAAAGAATAGTTGTCAAGTTGAGTAATTGAGCAATTCCACGAATTCGATCATCAACGTCACCAAAAGGCTGTTAACGAATATATATATATATATTAATATATATAAGGTTGATTTTTAATTAACCATTTTATATTATGAAGGTAATACTTACGGGACGCCAGCAAAGAGGCGTTACACCCATAACATATTTAATAATCTTTTTAGTGTAATACAATTCTGCAAGTGCCTGTTCATTGGTAAGTGTGGTCATATATTGATGAGACCAAGTATGAACACAAATGTGATGACCATCTGCGAGAGCTCGTTGAGCTTCATTGGGCCAATTAGCAACATTTGACCCAACAAAAAACATAGTCGCTTTCTGATTGTTTCCTTTAAGGAAATCGTAAAACACAGTATGAGAACAGTTTGGACCATCATCATACGTTAAACCCCAAGTACCTTTAGCATGAATAATCGAATATTAGCAACCAAATATATACAATATAGTAACATAAAGAAATTTTATCGCATTTAATACAATTAAGTTCTCACCAGGCTCAGGACAAATGGAAACATCGGCTTGCAGTCCAGTTGCTTTAGGTTTTGTGCACAGATTATATGACCACCAACAATCTGGATCACTGGTAGAATAATTAGCCAAATCTAAACTACCATTGACCAGCTTACGAGGTGCAATTTTAGGTACTTTTGACCAGTCAAGGGAACTGTTAAGCTGCTTAAACTCAGCTGTATTAAAAGTATCATTACTTGAAGGCACTGCCCAAACTGTTGGATATGATGAATAATTAAATGTAGTTTCGTACGGTACACATTGTTGTTGAGCGAGGACAGTAGTGATTAAGGACCCCAAAATAATGAATGAAATGGAAACCATGGTAATTGATTGAAAACCAAGCATTGGTAAAAAAAAAAATGAAGGATTATTTTTTTACCAAAGGATATTTCCCATCAAAACTATAAATATGACAAGTAAAAAATTTTTTTTAACCAAACGAAGGCAATTTATATTTTAAGGGAAAGGTAAGATAAGGAAAGAGCAATTAAATTAATACAGATTGTTTATTTGCCAAGATGATATTAATACAAATAAAATTTGTGCGCCAAGAAAGTTTACATTTAATATGCCAAGAAAATATATGTTACATAATAATGTTAATAATTATTATTGGCACATTGAATATTTTCGGTAAATTAATTATGTGGAACCTAAACTCAATGCCCTAAAAATTTAAATCAAAATTTACATTGCCTACCAACGAACGGTAGCAAAGGTCTTTTTCGATTTTTAACAGACGATTTACCTTGTTTAGTGCGTCAAAAGCGCGTCAGGGTACGTCTTGTGTACTCCGGATTTGCTTGAAAAGCCACTAGGATACACAAAGTAGATTATGTACGCAACTTTTGATATCACAATATCCAGTGTAACCTAAAAAATTACGAAATTTTAGAAGTATCTATGATATAATTTGCTTTAATAATTATGATTTATAGCTTTAATATGTTTTTTTTGTTGTATTCTTCAGTTATGATATCAAATCAGAATTTTTAATAAATTTCGTCCAATCAGGGTCTGGATTTTTAAGCGGTCAATAAGAACTACGGGAAATTGGTAAACCCGGATTTGCATAGGGAGAGCATTTTCCTGCATTGCACCAAAAAATTTCCGATTAAATAATACTATATCGTAAATAAATTAAAATTATTACTCCATATATTAAATAAGTAATTAAAATTAGACCAATAAACTTGTTTATATGTTTTATTTTATGCTAAAATGTGACTACAATGTTTTTTCTGATGGTTTATTCGTATTTTCAGAGTTCGTTTCTGTAACAGACCTAAATATATAAAGGTAAGAGTTATTGTATAAAACTCTGAACCTTCTAGTTGATTTAAAGTAGAGTTTGTACCTGAGTTAGAATACCTGAGAAGTCCGTGTAATATCTACCAGTTGAATCTTTAATATTGCTATCCGAGTGATTTGGATTAATTATTAAAATATTAAAAACAATTCTTCATCAGTTTATGATATTTAGCACTTAATTCATTCAGTAATTTAGTACGCATACATAAAGAATATCAACAACCCGTGCAATTTTGATAAGCTTATTTTCACTAATTTATATGAATATCACATAGATCAGCAAAAATAAGCTTGCCCAAATCGATGCAAATTCACGTTCATATTGGGGACCGTCGATGTTACACAACTGATCCTTCACCCGGTGTGCAACATATAAATAAATTGTTTTAAAATACCAGATCAGTCCGCCAGTACATGTTATGATTATAATCCCACACCATTTTATCATAATAAAAATGGTGTGGGATTATAATCATAACATGTACTGGCGGACTGATCTGGTATTTTAAAACAATTTATTTATATTGTAGCGCGGCAAATCGGCGAGTCTGTCGCTAATTCCTTCCAATTCTCGTGTAACCTACGGCGGCTAAGTCGAAATAGGCG